TATTAAACAGAGACAGCTGTATTGTTTTTATAATAAGGTTAATTATTATAATTTATTTAATATTATTTTTACAAAAACAATCTTATTATTTTGTTCACTTACTATTTAAAAATTTTTCAATTTTTAATAAATATCATCTTTCATATTAAATTTATTAATTACCCTTTTAATAACAGCAGCATCGCATAGTATCAAAAAAGTATATCTTGCAAAATGCAAAAAGTTATATAATTTCTACACTGGTTGACCTTGACTATGAAGTATGCGAGTCATCGTTACGAACTTCTTCATATAGGTACAAGTATCTTATTTATTAATATAATGTTTACTCACTCTCCCTCCCCTTGCTCTCTCTCTCTCTCTCTCTCTCTCTCTCTCTCTCTCTCTCTCAGGATTTTATGGTTCGTTGCTATATCTATATTATTGCCAATGTATTGAGTTAACATTTATAGTCTTCCCTCACATATTTTTACACTTAAATCATTTTCAATTTTAAACTTCGCTTAAAATTCAAAAGTCTTAAAGATCTTACTGCAATCTTACTGCATCGTCGCATTACGAATGCTGAAATTCTCAAGAATAACTTCATCGTTGAAGTATCTTTAGATTTAGAGAGATCGAAAATCATAGGTCAATATCTAATAATAGATCATGCAAACATGCTTCACTTCTGGATTCCGGAAAGGTGATGACAATTTATTGCTACAAAAACATACGTCAATATTAACATTTTTAAAAATATAGATATTTTGCATTTAAGTATATGATATAAAATATTTTGTACAAAAGAGATGCCAAAATTCAATAAGGGTGACAGTTATATTTTTATAAAATACGACAACAATAAATATAAATAAACAAATTTACAAACAGAAATTTATCCCATTACAAAGTATAGATTTTCGTAAGTTTAATTTCTACGACAAGTTAATAATATTATGAAATTTGAAACTCTTGAGTTACGATAACGTTTTCGAGAGGTCAGTTATTTTTTGCGTGAGAATAAGAATTGGTTTGTTGCAAATATTTTTACAGCTGCGTTAAAAAATGTGTATTTAATCGTGAGTGCCTTTTCGTGTTGATATATGGTACGTAGGTACGGAATATGGCGTCCAGCAGCTTCCATTTCCTGATGCACCAATTAAGATAAGTCGCGATAGAGCGTGGGATATCCGTTGACGATATACATATTGAAACCAACATCTATGATAAAATTTTCATTAAAATATAGTGTTACACTATATTTTATTATATGAAAGTTAAATTTTAAATTAAACAGCAAAGTGTATAATAAATTATATTAAATGCTTGTATAAAAGCAGAAAAAAATTAATAATTTTTATATGTTGAGAATGCGTTTAAAATATGTTAAATTTTGTAAAATAATATAACACATTGTTATATAACTTTTGAAATTTATAAAACTTCATGTTTTATTAATTACAAATGCTTTCTATTATTGAAAAAAATATTTAAATGATTAATATGTCTTTCCTTACTTGTAATAATTAATTGGTACCTAACTTCCCAAATCTACAAAATTGCATGTTTTATTAATTACATATTTTCCATCATTAAAAAATGTTTAAAAGATTAATATGTTCTTTCTTATTTGTAATAATTCTGGCATTAAGAATGATTCTATTATACAATTCATCAATTATTTCAAAGATAACTTTCGTGTAAATCATTAAAGATATCGAGAAATGTATTAGAATGGCCTTTTACGTAAAGACAACGAAATGCCACGTCATCTATTAATAAAAGTCTTGAAAGTGTGTGATACGTCAAGTTGTTGTTTTCTACCCTTCGCAATTACTTTGATGTATTTTTAATCTAGATAATAGAAGAAAACAATTCATTATCGGCAAAGTAGTCTCATCGATAAACATTTTAATTAATTAAATATTTTACAACGAAACATTTTCCGACTATATTTTTAAGAATTTTAAGATACAATCATCTTCTAAACCTTTTTTGTCAGTCACGTGACTCGAAAGAGTTTTGTAACTCCAGTCAGCACATATTTCCGCGTTTCTTTATATTTTACTTTTATTATTTAAAAAATGCAAGAAAATATCTGAGAACAAAACTATTGCGCAATTGATTTATCTGATAAGTTAAATATTTAATGTTTAAATACCCTTCTTTCATCAATATTACCTTTTTTTAAATTGTGGACAATGAGAAGATACTAATTCATGGTATTACTATTGAGATACGCCATTGAGAGAATAGGCTTAATGGCACAAAGGTTATTATCTATATTTTATATACGCTTCACTTAAGTGTTAAACATACGTAACCTATTACGTAAGTCCATCGTAATTATATAGAGGTATCGATTGAGATACTTAATCGAAGAGTGAAACCTATTTCAGAAAAGCACGTGTTTGTCCGCAGATATAATTAACACGCTGCTTAATAGGATGAGGGTGTGAAGGGTTTACTACGCGAAAAATAAAAGGGGTTAGAAATTTTTAATTGAATATTTTTTTAAGCTCGAGAGATATATATATATAAAAGAAAGATTTAAGTATAAAGAAAATGTATCTTTTGTCGCAAAATAATTTTGGCGTATTTTTATTTCGCAGTACCTATTTTTTAAACGGACATATTTCACTGAGAATATTCTGGAAAGTAACTTTTAATTATTAAAATTTGCATTAAATATTATGTTGCAGGTGCAACAGCGAGTTAAAATGAGCAAGTCAACTCGGAAGAGACGCTCTTAACATTGTAAGTACTTCTTACGATTTTACGATACTGTTGTAATAGTATATAACAGAACTTTTTGATATTTTCACTCTGCAACATTTAAGTGCGCTTCGTCCTACATAGTGCAAATTTGTTATAAAGGTTAATCGGTGCAACGATGCTAAAAGGTTCTCTGTAGCGTGATGAACTATCGATTATCCAAAATCCAAAAGTTTCAAGTGAGAAACGTCCTGTAGTACAAATTTAATATTTGGCTCTTAAATCACATAATTCATTACATGATACATTCCAATTATTGCATATACTATAACGTCAGATAAAAGAAAAATTTATTTATATTGCCAAACTTTTAAATAACGATATTCATGTAATATATTCTTCAAAACTTATATAGTATAACTATAGTGTACTGCACGTCACATATATGATACACAAAAGATATTTATTTATATCATCAGAAAGCGTTCCATGACGTTGTGTGTAAAAAAAAGAACTTAGCTATTTTCTTCGAACTATAGCTTCTGTATAACAAGTCTGCGATGACGTCTTTTCTCAGTGTCAATTTTTTCAATTTTCTATGCACACGAGTTCTGAAGCTATTCACATATTATAACGTATTCTATTCTAATTCCAATCCTTTAACTTCTGTAGGTAAAATTAATTCTGTCAGGAGACTCAAAAATAAGAATAATAAATATTCCGAAAAAAGAACGAGAAAGAGAACATGCTTCTTTTAAACTTTTTATGTGTCTTCGAAAAAAAATGCTAAACAAGAATAAAACTAAAGAGTTATATCTATAATATATATTATATAAAAAAAGGAAGAGATACGTTCAAAATTTGTAGATGAAAGTTTTGATGCGCACGTTGTGGCAAGATATTAAATAATTATCTAACGCCATTATACAGCGAAAATTTTTATTTTTATCTTCTAATTGTAAATGTAGAAAAAGAAAGATTACGAAATGTGTTTAAAGCTGTGTGCAATCTTGGGAAGAAAACATATTCTCAATAATTTATTCGACTTTAAATGTTAAAATACGTAATATATTTTCATTTCTCTGTAAAAAATATAAAATAAAAAGATAATAAAATAAACATAATTAGGCACATTAACGGTAACGAGTATTATTATGAGATAACAGAAACAGTAATGCTAGTTCATTCCTTTGTCTTTTAATAACAATTTTTTCCTGCATATCTATTAAATTTTGAAGCAAAACAAACATTGTAATTACGAACATTGTAATTATGGACGTTGTAATTTTTAAAAATATCTTTCTCATTATAATATAGTGATGAAGCGTTAAACACAATAAACATAATCAAGATATTAACGGTGTCGTGTATTATTTGTCGGAATTTCTTTTTGCACGGAATTCCCTAAAAAACTGATTTTAATATTGGAGTTTGCTTACATGTAGTAAGCCGATAGGTTAAAGGTCAAGAAACCTTGACGCTTTATTTTATAAAGGGGTTAATGCCCGATTAAGGTTCAGAAGGCTCTATTGAGATATTACGTTCATGTGTTACTTATCGGGGACCATACAAGTCGGAGTTAATAATTAACTAACTAAATATCCGATTAAACAAGTTCTAAACAAGCAGATTACATGTCAGAATGAAACTACTTGAGTATCAGCACTACTGCGTGTTTCGCCAATCAGTCCATCTTATATAATTAATGATGGTAATTTTTTAAAATTTAATTATCTGTTATACGCCATGCTTTCGTACATTGAACCAAAACTATACGTAAATACAATAAAATATTCATTGAATTATGAAAAAATAATGAAAATTGGTCCAATGAATTTTCATAATGATTTAGATTATAAAACTATTTCTAGAATTCATTGCAAGAGTGAATATATAGTTGTATAAATGAATCCAGTTTTATTGTATCAATGAATTAATTACATTAAATCGGACATTAAGTCGGACATTGATTAACGATCATTCATTGGACCAAAAATGAATAAAATTTTTTCAATATACTTCCGCGATGTAAACTGTCTATTGAATAAACATTAACTTCGTTAAATATACGAGCAAAATATACTCTCCGAAATTTACGCTCATTACACACAAACTCGCTCGGAACACTGTGCAGTGTTCAATCCTACTTTCATTACAACAATTTACGGACTAGTACGAGGAATGCGAGGTATAAATGTCAATTTCAAAGTCTCGGACGTAAAGCAGATACTCAATTCGATACATTTGATGGCGACCGGCACAGGAAAGATGCCCGATGGAGATGCTTTTAACGACACAGACGCCGTATCTAGGCTGACTTTGCCGGAAGTCGGTAGAACGACGCGGAGATGACGAAAAGGTTCGAGTTCAACTGGCAGATCGAGGTGCCGGAAGCACTCCGCACCGGCTGCGTCTTCGATCGTTGGACGGAGGAGAAGGATAACACTGAAATCGAGCTGAATTGTCTGTTTAAAGTCGACGAATATGGTTTCTTTATCTATTGGCAGAGCGAGGGAAAGGTGAGGATTTTTGTTTGCCTTTTCTGTTCGCGCCCTTTGGGCCCTCTCGATAAAGAAGTGAAGTACCTTGGACATTCTCACAAGTCTTGAATATACACGGTTATTTTTATCGTGTTTCTCCTCCTTGCAGGACGGCGATGTTATAGAGTTGTGTCAAGTGAGTGACATTAGAGCCGGAGGCGTTCCTAAGGTAAAACAATTGTTCTATCGTTTCAAAATATGATGATAAATCAGATTTGTTAAAGTTACGATAGTCACTCGGATTTACCGGAAAAGAATTTACCGATTAAATTGATAAAAAAGAATTATAGTACTGAAAAATGTATTTAAAAATTTACGTAGAAGTATTGAGATTTAGCCTCAATTCGCTTCTTTACTCAATTAATTAGTTTATTTAGCAATCTAGTTTAATTTATTATTAAAAAAAAAAGAAAGGGAGGGAAAAAAGGAAATACGCGACAACATTTGATATCTAATAAAACCGACGCATTTTAAGCAGGACCCCAAGTTATTTGACAAGCTACTTAGCAAACATGGCGAACAGTTGGAAGAGAAAAGTCTGACCATCTGTTCTGGTGCAGATTACACCAATATCAACTATCAGCACGTCGTATGTCCGGATCCTGCCACAGCCAAGGTAACATACACGTCCAGCACACTAATCGTGATAACGACGGAAGCTTGGCATCGACATGTCATTCGATTTATCGGTCAAGTGAACTATTATTAGCTGGGTGATACAATACCGATATAGCGTCCAGGATCGCTATCGTTTTATAAAATTGTTGTTTTCTCATAGTTTATTGCGGATATAAATAGTAAAATGTCATTACATAATAAGTATAATCATTACATTAACGACATTAGAGATTGTATTGTAATATGTTATTATTAATACTTTTCCGTAATAGCTTCTGCGAAACGTAACATGCAATGCGACATGAACGTGTAATCGCGATTATGCTAAATTTCTCGATCGATTTGCTTTCTATTGCTCTTTTATTTCTCTCCGTTACGTGTTTCCGTGTCATTTTCAAGAGAATCGCTAGTTTCTACCGTGATGGAGAGGAAATAGCGTGAATGTGCCATACACGGTTCTGTATATCGTATTACAATCGATTCCTTATCGTACTGCATGCGCTATGCTAAATTGTGATTACACAACTTGACAATTCCATTGAAATGAATTATGACTAATTATCGTATGTTTCCTAAGTAACAAGGTGACATCTTATTGACATTAAAGACATTATTAAGGTATTATTAAGATATCATTGGACGTCACCTTTCTTGGGTTGAAATATTATTATCGGGCAACACATCTATCTGTTCTTTACTTGAAGCTCATTAACTTTACATATTTTTTGTATATTTTAATGCTATTGAGAATGAATGACATTTAAGAAAGTTAAAGTTTAAATCGCTCTTACAAATATTTAAATTAGCAACAGTTTTACCAAGACAGCAAAATTATTTCTCTCTTCCCAGTTATAAATTTATCTACCTACAAACGTAATAATAGATCATGTTATAACAACTGATAACTGTTACCTTGATGCTCTTTTAGATTTATGTCTCTATCGTAACAGACTTAATATATTCTTCCATTAAAAATAAAAGAACAAACTGATGTTACTTTATTCGTATATGTCGTCATAGGTATGGTTGGATGGCGTTCGATCGATTACGCACAATGTCAAAGCGAATAACGTTTGCCCTCTTACGTGTCTGAAGAAACAGTGAGTTTGCCAATGCACTTATATACACTTGCACTAACGCGTTTGTAAACACCATACTGTTTACCTCTATGAAATAATTAGCCATACATGTGTTCCACAACAGACATATGTATGTAACATAACTTCGTGTTTCTGTAATTCTTTTCTGACGCAAAAGAATATTTAATTTACAATAAACCGATAAGCATATTCAATTTAAGCAGAAATTATAAAGCTTTTAAATTTTCTTTTCTTTCTATATTTATATATTTTATTGAATCATTCTTTCTTTTTTTAATCTCTTTTCTTTTTTAATGAGATATATTAGAGAGATTATATTAGAGTTTATTGTATCAAAGACTTGACGAAAACCTAAAAGTTGACAAAAATATATATTATGTACCTATTTATCAAACCGCATATAATTTTTCCATTTTTTGAAGAGAAAGTAATAGAATCGCGAATAAAACGTATTTTGTGCAATTTTAGTTGGATGCGACTCAGAATGTTGGTGGATCCCAATGGAAAAGTTCCAGTGAAAGTAGTCGCGAGAACTTTCGCATCTGGTAAAACAGAAAAGCTCGTTTACCAGTGTCTCTCTGAATTAGGCCTACCTAGCGGAAAGGTATCTTAAATGATTATTAAAATAAATAATCGATCTCACTTTCATATCTCGCGGAATTATTACAAAAACTTTTGTTTATATTTAGAACGACGTGATAGAACCTGACGATTTCACCTTCGATGCATTCTACGCACTTTATCACAAAATATGCCCAAGGAACGACATAGAAGAATTATTTCAATCGATGTGAGTACTTTTTTCGGAGAAAATTTAAATTAAAAAAATATATCAAATACTATTTCCTGTATAAGAATAATTAACACATTTTTTAACGACCATTATTAATTACAAATTTTAATCATCTCATATTATTTATACGGGACAATAATAAATAAAAAAAATATGTACAGCAAGTTGCGTATATTTTATATATATGAATCTTTAAATATACATTTTAATATATTTTATTTTTTGTAATATAGTTTATTTGAGTTTATTTTAACATGATGACACAGGCAAAATTATTAAAATAAATGAATTTTAATTATTTTATATCATTTTTTATATACGACGGTAGTAAAAAACATATATAGGAAATTGTATATTTTATATATGTGTATTTACATTTTTATACATACATTTTATTGCGTTTTATTTTTTACGATATTTTAGTTTTTCATTTTAACACGGGTAGACATAGTCGTTTTACAATAAGCAACATATCGCTAATTTATCTAAAAAATTTTAGAACGCAGGGCAAGGCCGATACAATTAACTTGGAGCAACTGATCACCTTTCTTAACGAAAAGCAAAGGGATCCAACCCTGAACGAAATTCTCTACCCACTCTATGACGAGAAACGCGCGCTGGAGATCATTAATGATTATGAGCAGAACGAAGTTGCCCGTAATGAAAGTAAGAGCTTGATAAACAAATCATGTATCTTCGAAATGTTTCTCTTGAACAGTTCTCTCGAATCTATCTAAAATTAGATCTGATCGTTCGCATTTCTGGAGCCTAAGATATTGATTTCTTTGTAAATATTTCATTTATCTCTCTTCATGTACAAGTTATATTAGGATATTAAGCTGTCAAAGATATCAAAGACCGAGTAAACTTTAAATAAGCCTGTAAAATTGAATCGGCAAAATTCAATTGACTGTCACTTAGCTTAGCCGTGACTGAAGAATTAATGAACCGCCTTAACTTGTAGTTTCAAATCAACTTTCCTTTATACAATTGCTTACTTCCAGGAACGATGACGAAGGATGGCTTCATAAGGTACCTGATGTCCGATGAGAACGCGCCAGTTTTCCTCGATAGACTAGACGTTTATATGGATATGGACCAATCTCTTGCGCATTATTACATCAATTCGAGCCACAATACATACCTGAGCGGACGTCAATTCGGTGGAAGGAGCAGCGTCGAAATGTATAGACAAGTTCTACTGGCCGGATGCAGGTAACAAATACTACATGAATATGGAATTAATGATTATTCCCAATTTGCAACTGTAGCGATTTTCAATATCCGGTATATTTATAGCTATATCGATTGTGCCAGATTATCAACGTATCTGATTGAATATATAATATTATTCATTAGATCGATATACCCATATATCTATCTTTATTTCAGAATAATAAAGCAATCTAACTCATTTTTTTAATAATAAATTACAACACAGTTTTAAGGATTAATTTAATAAATATTTTTGTTTTTTTTCTTATTATTTTTATCTTGATTTAAATTGTTATATTTAAATAGATTCTTGTGACATTTAGAATAATTTTAATTTATTAATTTGTTACTTTATTAATTGGTACGAGAAAATTACTTTATATATTACTATATGTATATAAACAATCGAAAAATTATTCCGTAATAAAATAGCGAATAATCGATAACTATAGAAATTATCAATTTTAGTTTTTCTTTTTTTTCAATTCAAATTTAAAGATGCGTCGAATTGGATTGTTGGGATGGCAAAGGGGAAGACGAGGAACCGATAATCACTCATGGCAAAGCCATGTGCACCGACATTCTATTCAAGGACGTTATATACGCAGTCAGAGACACGGCCTTCGTTACATCAGAATATCCAGTGATTCTCAGCTTCGAAAATCATTGTAGCAAGAAGCAACAAAACAAACTGGCCAAGTACTGTGATGAAATTCTGGGTGATTTGTTGTTGAAAGAACCTCTAAAAGAATATCCTGTAAGTTCTTACGCGCATATCGATTAGTCATAGATATTATAAAATGTTATTATGATATTATAAAATTTATAGTGACAGTTTCTGAATTATGGATTTGCTCATATATCAATAAACATTTTCAATTATTATTAAGGTATATAATTACAATAAATTTTATAATATTAACGGATAACATAAAAATATGAGCAAAATTTCTTGTGTTTTTACTTTTTTTAAATTTCTTCTATCACAAACTCGCATTTATGATTAATTACTCAAAATTTTTGGTAACTTTTTGTATTGTAGCTTTAAGTGCACTTATAGATAAAACATTATTAACAGTTGGAGCCAGGAGCACCGCTGCCACCACCCAGTGTACTAAAACGCAAGATTCTCATTAAGAACAAGCGCCTAGGGTCCGAAGTTGAGAAGCAGGAATTGGAGCTCTTCATGCAAGGTCAATTCGTGATTGAGGACGAGATCAAGGAAGACGCCAGTGCGCCGCCGACGGTCGCCGTCGCTGTGGAGCAGCCACCGGTAAAAGTAACAGTCATTACGATCCTCAGATGGAGCATGATAGTGCCCCTTCACTTTAACCGAATTAAGCGATCAAAGTTTCTTTTGATAAAATATCTCTCCTCGACTACAGGAAGATAATTCTGAATCCATAACGACAGCGGGCATTCAGCAACAGCAATCTGGCACTGGTTCGGTGGGATTTGGAGAAAGCATAGAGTTGGCAGTTGCTCAGAATTATATCGGAAGTACTACCAATGTACATCCGTGGCTGTCCTCCATGGTCAACTATGCACAACCTATAAAGTTTGTCAGTTTCGATGAGGCCGAAGGTAAGTGAAATTTTTGCATCTTTGAGAGAAAATTATATTTTATTTAGAATTATAATTATTCTGCAAAATTATAAGTATTTTTCAATAAATGTCAGTTATAGAAACGAAGTACTATTTCAGAAAAGAACATTCATCACAACATGTCTTCCTTCTCGGAAACGGCTGGCTTGACCTACTTGAAAACCTCTGCCATTGAATTTGTAAATTATAACAAGCGGCAGATGAGCCGGATTTATCCGAAAGGTACACGAGCCGATTCTTCCAACTATATGCCACAGGTAAAGCACGAACTTGTAGAGCGCAATTTGCGCAACGGGAACCACGAAGAAAAGTCTCTCAATAATCGATCGTTGCGAAACAGGTCTTCTGGAACGCTGGCTGCCAAATGGTGTCACTGAACTTTCAAACCGCGGATCTGCCCATGCAATTGAATCAAGGCAAATTCGAGTACAACGGATCTTCGGGCTATTTATTAAAGCCGGATTTCATGAGACGTGCTGATAGGAGCTTCGATCCTTTTGCCGAGAGCCCCGTGGATGGAGTGATTGCTACACAGTGTAGCGTTCAGGTACGTTTTTCTTCCTTGAATGATAATCCAAGTCACTTTCGAAAATATATTTTTCTAGCCTACTTAAAAAGTCGAACAATTTACATAAAAATAATTTTTATATCATTCTCGTTTTTATTATATGTGCATTATGAAATTTATGTATGGCATTTTTTAAAAATTCAATTTTTCTCTGTAATATTTAGCAAATTTAATTATGTTGGTGAAATAGGTACATTAGTTAAACATTCATATTTTTATATATTTCGTGAAACTTTTTTATGTATATAATTTATTAATTCGTTATCTTTTCAACAATAATATATTAGATATTATTATGCTATTCTTTTATACGAAATTATCTAATTTTAGTTATTACAATAATGAATTAATGATATTATTAAATTTATACTTATGAAGAGAAAAAACCGCTATTCTTGATAATAATGATAATAATAATAATAAAATTTTACAATAATAAGAAGAAATAATAATATATAACACAAATGAATGAAAAAATTCCTGTGAAATTTTACATAAAAGTGACGTAATCGTAATTTTAAAAAATAATGAGAAAATATATGCGAAATATATTTTAATTATTAACAGCTCTTTGTATTAATATAGGATAATAGGAAAATAAGATAAAATACAAAGGAATGAATTCTAAAATGTTTATTAAAAATTAAAAAACACTTTCACTGTGCCCATTTATTATTGATTTGTTACTATACATTATAATAGGTAATAGCTGGTCAGTTTTTATCCGACAAAAAAGTCGGGACGTATGTTGAAGTTGAAATGTATGGCCTACCAACCGATACGATACGCAAGGAATTTCGCACGAGAGTGGTTCCTGCCAACGGTTTGAACCCCGTTTACAATGAAGAGCCCTTCCTCTTCAGGAAAGTCGTCCTACCAGATTTGGCCGCTTTGAGATTCGCGGTATACGATGAATCGAATGGCAAACTGCTAGGACAGAGAATTGTTCCTTTGGATGGTTTGCAAGCTGGATATCGGCACATTGCGTTGCGAACTGAGGCCAACTTTCCTATGTCTTTGCCTATGCTGTTTTGTAATATTGATATAAAAATTTATGTGCCAGATGGTTTTGAAGGTACGTCCGACATGGCTATGTTTTAGTTGCATGATAAATCTTCGCTACTATTTATTTTCTCATTTATATAATTATAATTTTAATAGATTATATAATTTTGTTCAAAATTATGTGTTTCCTGCTAAAGTTCTGTTAAATTGAACTATTTCATATATCTTATTTTTTTTCGATCTGCTTATATTATTATTTAATTAATAATTTTATCTTTTTCATTTAAAATTTTTATAAAAAATTCTAAATGTACATATATGTGTATATATTAATTGATTAATTGCTATACTTAAAACTTTTTATAATCTTTTTAGAATTTATGGACGCATTGACGGCGCCGCGAGCATTTAGAAAATCAGAAAGCATGTCGCAAACTAAAATGCGGGGTCTGGGGATCGAAGAGAGTGATAGTAAAAATAATATGGATAACAAAAACAACGTATTATCTCATCACCAAGAAGCAGCAAAACCAAGAGGTATAAGATACGGATAAAATACAGAATTGCCAACAGTGAGCGATGATCTATACCTATTTTATTTCTACAGAGGAAATGAAGTTTGATCCAATCACTCTCGAGACTCTGAGACAAGAAAAGGGTTATCAAAAAGTATTACGAAAACAACAAAAAGAATTGGAGTCTTTAAAGAAGAGGCATCACAAGGAGAAAGTCGCTGTCCAGAAGCAACATTGCGTAGCAATAGAGAAGATTTTTAAAGGGAAAAAGTTAGTCATTTTTATACAATTTTTATGGGCTTCCTTTAACAAAAAATGTTATTTGAAAATTTTTTTATTTATTATTTAAGATTGAATATTTCAGAATTACAAAGCTTGAAGAAAAAAATTCTACAATTTTAAAATACAGCGTGGAAAAATTTTAAGATAGTATTGACAAACTGATTTGGAGTAAACAAAAAAATTAAAATATAATTTTTTTGAAGAAATGAAAATTTCTAATAAAACTGTTAAAATGCAATTATTTTGGCACATAGGACTGATACAATTTAAAGTTCCTAGAATTGAGAGTCGAATATACACATTAAAAAACAGTAAAATAATTGCAGAATAAATTCTTCAAAATAAAATAAAATAAGAGAGGCATCATAACCAAGTTTCACAAAAATAATGAAAATTTTTTTCATTAGCAAAGCGGAACTTTCGAGGGACCCCATCGTTCGCCGTGCAGTTTCTGAACAGACGACCCAATGGTCGCGTCTCGCCGACAGGCAGCGCCGGGAGGAACGCGATCTAATCCGTGGACATTTGGAAGAGCGACGGACGCAGCTGTGCAAATTGTGCATGACCGCGCAGCTGGCGCAACAAAAACAGCAGACCGCGCGTCACGATCGCGAGATGAAAGAAATAACAGCACGACAGGCGAGACTGTCAGTGGAGAGCGCGAGGGAAGTGATGAACGACAAGACTTTGAAGACACGCGGGATCAAGGAAGGCAGACTCAGGGAGAAGCAGCAGAATAATACGAAAAAGTTCATGGAGGAGCGCAAAATCGCTCAGATGATACAGAATAGGGAAAAAGAGAAACTGAAGGTGATCCATGAAAAACAATTGGAGGAGTTGCAAAAGGATATAAACGCGGTAAGACAACAGACTCTCGCTAGGCTAGAAGTTTTTCCGATAGTATAGCTTTGCACATTCATTGCGTTTACACATCAAAAACATATATCTATATGTTTAATATTTGACATGTAATCGTAAGTAAGTAATTTATGCAATCTGATATTGAACTCTTAAACGTTTATTTTAACATTCTCTCTATTGAGAGAATAGAAAATTTTGAAAATATTTTAAATTTTTTGTGTTTATTTTAATAAAATAAATGTCGATGTGATATATATATATAGCGAATTTGATAAAAGATAAGATTGCTAGAAAATCTAATTTATTATAAATTTCTGTTTCATAATTAAGCTGAATTCTATTTATTGAATGTTAAAATTAATTTTGTTATTATATTTTTCCTTTATATTGTTTTAATTATTACACTTTATTTAATATTTTATTTAATATTACTCTTTATTTTCTTAATAAATTTATCTTTTTAAAATATTTTTTATTGTATTTATCCTATTATTTGTGATATTTTATATTGTATGACAAAATAAATAATAAGTTATAGATAATTTATTGCAATAAAGTTTCTTTAATCTGAAATAAGTAAGACTAAGTAACAGATTCGAAATATCAAAAATATGGATTATCTGAAATTATAGATTTTTATCATGAATTTTTTATTTATATATGCTTATATTTTAATTTTAATTTATAAAAGCCTTTAGAAAATGTATTGAAAATATATATTTAATACACGAATATTTTTTTAATATGGATAACTTTTCCAAGATTGTTTATTAATATAATTACTCTTACACCTTAAATTATCTTTTTTTAGTACTAAATTTTTACCTTTGAGAGAATTAAATTATCCAATATTTAGCCGAAATCATTTGATTATAACCAAAACCTTTTTCAAAATTTCAGGTTAATTTTTAAGAAAACTTTAATTTAAAAAACAATTTTTTTTTTGCTATAAATGATCGCAATAATTTTTATCCTATACACTGTGAAGTCTATTATGAAATATAAAAAAATAATAATATATAAAAATCTTTTACATGTATAAAAGATACCAAACTTTTATTATTCAATGTTTAGAACCTGTTATTTGGAACAGATCTATGTTCAAATAGAAATAATTAAAATTAAATAATATGAAAAATGATTTAATAATATTTTTACATTAATAATTATAAAATAAAAATTTTTTAATATATATATTTTGTCAATATATCTAATTTTATTTAATGTAATCTATTATAAATCTGTTTAAGAATGAATTTATTATTTCATAAAATTATAATTTCTTAAAATACAAAAAAAGTTTTTTAGTTTACGTAAAAAATAAATTTTAATTGGCATAAACATTTAATTTATCTGAACATAAGTTTACTCCATTTAAATTCATTTATTTAAAATATCAAGTCCACTTTCCTCAAAATAATTGGTTTAGTCATACAAACGACTTTTCCAGATCATGGATATGTACAAGAATGAGGATATGGACTACGAACCGGCTAAGATGCTGGCTGAATTCTACGTGTGATGAGTGCCAGCCAAGTTCCTCCGCAAATTTTCTCCATAGCGAGAAATACGTTGCGAAGGGGAGGACTATTTTCAAACAATTTACTACTGTCGTTAATTATACTTGAAATTGGGATCAAATTTCATTAGATGTCGTTCTCGTATCTACAAATATCGCATATTGTGAGAAAGAAAGAAAATAAGCAACTACATTAACGTTTCTAATTCATTCAGCCAAGTATTTTTTTATAAGCAGACATTTTATGTCTCCATAGTCTCCGAGTACCTAGACTAACGAGGGAGTCAATACAACTAAAGTGATCTAGTCAAGTATTTAAATATATATTATACTTATACAAAACATATATCATGTCGTGGCTGATGTGAAATGGGTGATGCATCGCGCGATTCGTCGAAGTGAATATTTTTCGATTGTTAACGCTATTGTCGAAGTCTATCAGAGTGGAAAACATGTATGTATGTATGTGGGCATGTGTGAAACTGTTGTCTGTATTCGTGAATCGATGCCTAATATTGGGAGGAACTTTCTCTGTTACCGTGATGATTCCTAGACCATACATACCTTAAGTTGAGAGACGCTCTCACGGTCGGACCTAGCCGATAATTCTCGTGATTGCTGATAATGACTAGAGTATTATAGAGCGTTTGAGAATCTCGAGACCGCGCAATTTACAGTCGCGGACTATAATTTACAGATCGAAGGAAGCGCCTCTTACATGGCCCTTACATGAATGGTCACCTAGGATTGTAAATAAACTTCAAACAAGAGCCTAGTATAATGATTACTACGTTGTTGTTTTCATTATAACATAATGTTATTTACATAAATTATTATATCATCCTATACATATATATATATATATATATCTATATTGGATATAAAGGACGAAATAAAAAAAATTACGCAAATCACGTTCGCAATTATTTCCGTCTGTTGTGAGTAATTATTTTCATAAGAGCATATTTGTACTATGATAAAAACTACGATGCGGAAACAGTTATATTATAAAAAGAATATTCTCTAAAACGCATATTAATTATTTTTATTTAACTATCAAACAATCGAACGTATCTGTTAAATACATTTGAGCCTCAGAAATTTTCAATTAATTTCAAATTGATCACATAGACAAAGATTGCATTATAATTATTCAAATACTATTTTCTTAATCATTTTTATAGATGAAGATCATAATGATGTTTCATAATGGTCGTGATCGAGATAATGATCATGATCGAGTATGTCAGACTTGACGTCATCAACAGCAAATTCTTCATATGGAGCTGAAACAAATTAATATTCTCTATTTGTCTTTACAAAACATAATTATAGTACTCGTATGTACTGATCATTTCAAAATAATATCATAAATAATCCCTAAAAAATATAATATTTTTAAATTATATCAAATTATCATGATGTTTCTAATTAAAATTATTAGTGTATTCAAGCAGAACAACAAATTACAATAACGTCAAAATAATATTAAAGTGAATCGTAATTGATTAAAAAGTGGCTTTTAGTAATCATTTTGGAGCTATTTTGACGTCATCTTGATGTCATGATGACTTGTGTTACGCTTGGAGTATCTTTCTTATTAGACATTTCCATTTTGTTGCAAAAATTACATTAATTTTTTACGGGCGTGATCGATTTAATGAGAATTCATGTTTTTATTTACCGGACACGATGTGATCTACATTATTTTCTGATTCCACAATTGGAATGATTCTCTCATGATGGTGCTCCACATCAGCTTCTTGAATTTCTGCGGGATCTCCATAGTTCGCGGGCAACTCTATAGCATCGTGATTATCAAGCTGCACGTTTTGATAACTGGTAGCGCCATAGCCGTGATAAACCGCATGGTGCGAGTAATCACCGTTTGATACTACACCCGCCTCGCAAACGGCAATTACCAACAGAGAGAGAAACAACTGAAATACAGTAAATTTAAACACACTATAACTGAAAAGACGTAAGTTAAGTTTAATTTTTTATGTTAATTTCGCTAAAATATATCGACGATTCTTAATTTGTACGATCTTTCGAGTCGAGCTAAGGTTCAATATTAACATGTAACACAATTTTAAATAATAATTCGTCATAAAGTTTATATAAAAAAATATTAGGGCACTTTTGCATTTAATTAGTCTTTTCAATTATTCGTCACGACAATTTTTACGCGATATGAAATTATATACAATTCTTTTGCACGTCACAATTGAACGATGAATGAAAAGGCATAAAATTAAGTTCTTCCTTTACATCACTCTTATATAGTTTCCACTGTTTTCTTAATAACTTCTTCAGCATTCACTTACATAGTAACTCATAATGAATTCACTTCTCGGACAGGTCTGGTAGACTCTATTATACTGAAAGCATCTTCTCATGGATGTCTATTTTATACGGTGGCCGCGTAATATTGCGTAAGTTTTATGTGAATATTACGCATCATGAACGGATGTTTACAATTCGTGCTTCATGGCGTGGATTCGCGTGGACGCGAATCCATACATAGCACGTTTGTACATGGGTATGAGAAAGCCGACCCGCGAATGTGCATGTGTAGGCCATTTCAAAATGCCGAGATAGTTCACCGTTTCATTGCCGAGTTATGCAATCTCGTCTGAGTGGTGTTGCACGTAAGTAAGTGACGAAATCGTGCGATTCTTCGAAATTCGCGGGAATAAATAGAAAGCTCACCAGCGCGACGTTATTAATTCCAACTCCAGTAAGTATTGATTTTATGCAATCAGTTTCTGACGCGACAAAACAGGAAGAAAAGTTCTCCAGTGATCTGCGATAAAGATTACTGCATAAACAGTCTTATTTCTTCTTTCAAATACGGAAAGAATGAGATATCTAAAAATTTAGTCAGATTTCAAAATAATTTTAAACATCAAAATGATTATGTAAGAAACTCAAACACGAACAATGTTACAAAAAGTTTTGACATTCTAACAATGTAATTATTTTGATAGTCCAACAAAATTATTTTTTTATCTGTATTTAGCTGAATTTTTAGATACTTTTCAGTAAAATCGTTCTCTTCGTGTAGAAATTTCGTGATAAATTTTTACCACGCTCTTTGAACTATACTATATTAATTAAATACCTTATTAAATATATATATGAAATTAAAATTATGCATAATTATATATTTGTATTTTATAATTGTGATCTAAGCTCTGTAATTATGATGTGTAATGTTTAATGATGCGATTTAATTCCTAAGAACAATTGAAGAAGCTTAATAGTAGTGGGATTTCATGGCTTAAAGAATTACGATGATTTTGACGCAATCTAGATAAGCGGAAGATGTCCGCAACTTCGTAACGTAATTGCACGCTTATGAAATTTCTATGCATAATTGCTTCTCTAGATGAAAGTTTGAAAGAGTAGCGATATTTTACGGTTGGAAAGTTTCGGCACTAAGGTCGTTCAGTGTTTATAATCTTTATGTGAATCTTATCAAGAGAGTATCAAGATATTCACAGAATAAAGATTTACGTTTTGAAACAGGATAGACATCGTTTTATTAAAGATTAATAAAATTCTTTAATTAAGAAGCAAGGTAATTATTCACGTAAATTGAGAGTTTAAATAATATAAAATCTAAATACGTTTTATAATATAAATTATATAATACGTTTATATTATTAACTAATATTTATTAAACGCTTAATTATTGTTATACTTTCAATTATGATTCACTCGAGTAAATTTTGATTTTACGAATTGATTTTATCTGAGAAGAAATGTACTAAATTTTAATAAATATTTATTAGAATAGTGCCAACTAATCATTTACTTACAGTAAATAAATATTTACTTAATAAAAAATGATTATTAAATTAATAGTTCTTGTACCAAAAAAATGTATCTTTCCATTTAATAAGTATTTACTTTTCAAACAAAAAATTTATTAAAATTTAGAATACTTTTTTTAGTGTATTCCAGATTGAAAGTTTCCATCAGATTGAAGCATCAAGAAAATGTGTTGCAGTTTCAAAATTTAAGAAAAAAATTAACACGAAGAAATGATAAAGAAAAATAATTTTATTCTCTCCAGATTAAATTTGTGTCAGTTTTGACAATTCACTTTCTTTCATTTTAACAACTCGTAGTATTTCCCGATCCTTAATGCTATGAAAGCATTGCATTGTTCTGATATAACATTTTTACATATAATTTTACAATTTACAATTTTTCATTGCATTTTACAAGTTTCATATTTTCAATTTACAAAACGCAGGTCAATGTGAGCATTTCATGACATGAAATCATCAGTCGATCATTTAAGCGCATTTAAAAATATTTTCAATTTGCGCAGCTTGACATATCAATATCGAACGTTCGATCAAGCATTCTACGCACAATGAGGCTTAACTATAATGGAATCGTGAACCGGCTGTGGGGCGTACACAGATGACGGTGCATGAACCACAGGTTTTACGTAGGACACTTGCGGTGCCTGCACGTGCACCACTTTCGGCGTCGCGTATTGAATGGCGGGCGCATGGACCAGCGGTTTCTGATACAATATCTGGGCAGCGGGTACCTCGTACTTCTTGAGGAGGACCTTCGGCATCACATCGTGGTATATAGGGCTTTGATACGTGGGTGCGTAATGCAGCGGCTTTTGGTAAATCGGCGCGTAGGATGGCGCGATGGGACTCTGATAGATGGGCATCACGGGCTTGATGTATTGCAACGACTGATGCTGAGCATGATAATTCACCACGGGAGTCGCCGGTTTCACGTACGTGATGGTCGGCTTCTGCACCACGGAGGGATAGGCGTGAGGCTGTTGGATGTATTGCAGGTGAGCTAAGGGTGCTATGCCCAGCTCTTTCTTCAAGTAGGCCGGTTGGACCAGGGGCTTAACGTAGACCGGCGGTGGTGAGTAAGCGGGAACAGGCGGATAGAGCGGTTGGTGAATGGGTTCGCAAGGTTGATGGATGGAATCTCTCTTTGCCTTTAGCATTGAAGCGTCCGATGTTTTGTCCAACGGCTCGACCGGCATGTCCATGTGCATCCCGGTCTCCGAACGCACCGTTGACAGCCACAACAGGCATGGTATCTAGGGATTAGATTATACAGGGCCAAATTGTTACAAGTGACATAGAAAAGAACTCGCTGGAAGATCGGTATACAAAATCAAATATTTGAAGTGCGTTTAAAGACCATGCTTTTTAAATTTTGTAAAGAATAATGCGCATTTGCAAGTATTATTATTGCATATTCGCTAACTATAAATGTTTTGCTTGATAATTAATATATTAAGTGCCATTTAGAAATTGAGTTAAGCTCTCTGAGAGCTTTTTTAATCAAAATTAATTCTGGGAATTTGTTTTTATAATTTATTATCAATCTAGAAATTATAAAATGAAATACTGAATCCTTCAATGCTACTTTATTCAGAATCGTTTTATCAGGTATCACATGGGTATTGTGTAAGAATATAAAAATTGTGTAAAAATGAATGTATTATAACAATTTTTTAAAATCGAAATAGACATTAAGAAAGATAACTGTAGCAAGCAAAAGTAAATATCTTTATTAATAAAAAAATTATAGCACAGTAAAGTAAAAGAAACCTCTGGAATGCCATACTCGGAATGGCATCGAAGGATTAAATCTATTACGGAGCAGCGTTACATCGGTGTGCTTACCAACAGTCTGAACATGATTTTGCTTCTGTTTCCGTTGAATTGCACGACGACTAATAGATCGGGAGTTCTGGACCAAACTAGAAGCGCGTCACTCGCAGTCCTCGGTTTTATAAACTTTTGCTCCACTTAAAGAGGGCAAGTTTCTTGCTGAAGTCGAATGTGATTCCCTTAAGCGGCGTAAAAAGCGGTCGCTAGATCCATGATGCAATCGTACGCGCCCCGGTATTTCCTGAATAAATTCTGTGACGACGTGAGTGAGTGACCACCTCGGGCATGGCGACACATTGCGTCGTTGACATTATTCGTCGTCGTATCCACGCGGTGGACACGCCAATCTGCCGTACAAGCCGAACACTGTATCGTGAAATATCGCCCGAAGTGCCGCCTGTAGGAAAATAGTGACGTATATAATTTATAATAATTACGGATGCATTTCACGTTTTGGCAAAAAATCAAGCGCACCTGAAGTATTTGTTGCATGCAACCCTATGTCGCCGAGAGCGTTGAAATCTCAGAGATTATTAATTTTTGAGAAAATTAGTGTACAAAGAAGATTTAAGAAAAAAATACTAGTGTAACCACATATGCATATGCATATCATACTATATGTATATTTATAAATAATTTTGTTTGATCATAAAAATAATTGTGTAGGATACTCAAACTGATTTCTAGAATGTAAAATTTTTTTGTAGCATTATTCATGCTTGAGATTCCTACATAATTATTTTGATGATCCAACAAAATTATTTTTAGATCTGTATCTAATTAAATTTTTTTAATACTTTAGCAAAATCATCTATTTTTTGCGCAATTATACCAATTAAATGAATGTAATTAATTTTTCTATGATTCTAAACTTATTTAAGTAATAATAATTAATGCTTGTATAATTGAAAAAACAGTTTATTTAACAGTTTGTTTAACAGTTTATTTAACAAATATAAATGTTATATTTATAGCAGTAAACTATGTACATACATCACAACGCTTATGACCTAATATTGTTCATGTAACGCTTGTCGCTATTTTTGGCATAAAGGTACTGAAGAAAATCGCCCAAAATAAATCAATGCTTCTTCCAGTGTCCTGAGCCGTGTCCCGAGCCATGTCCTGAACCCTTATGATGAAAAACGTGCTTGTACACTGGCACGTGAACTGGATACGGTTTAGGTATTGGCACTGGAAAGTGCTTCTCCACTGTCACTGGGTACGGCTTCTCGACGACATATGGTACCTGCAATGCAATACGTTTATAGACATTCACAACAAAGTTTAATAAAAGATATTTTATTTAAATAGCATAAAACATCCTATAATCATCGATCTCTTTTAATATCACGATATTTTATATATATGTCATTAGTATTTTAAATTTCAAAGACATAATTAATTTAAATAATATAAACGATATAACATTTTTATAATATTTAAATAATATAACATTTTCTATATAATCTTGTTTCTTATTACCTGTGCAAGAAAATAGTAATATATTATTTATAATATCACAAAGTAAAAATCATATCATACTAGGTGCGTATCAAACGTTTTCCTTTACAGATAATTTATTACAATTTCATATAATCTTTTAAAAATATTTATCGATACAAACCTTCTTCTCCACGACATACGGTTCCGGTTTTTCTATAGGTATCTCAATGTGTTTAATAACTTCTACGGGTACCGGATGCGGAACTGCGACTTCGACCTGATAGGGTTGAGGTATCGGAATTTTAATTTGCTGAGGGACTGGAACGGCAACCGGGTGCGGAATTGGTATCGCATATTTCTTGTAGATAGGTATTTCCACTGGCTTAGAAGTTTCGTGATAAGTAGTACCACCGTGGTCCTCATCGTGGTAAGAAGCCCACACTGCGACCACCATTGTGACAAATACCTACAAGTGTAAGTGAGTCATTAAAATCACCGAGTTCCGAAGTAGAATGTCGCCAAGATTGTTATTCGTAACCGCTTTCTAGTCGCGATACTCGCGATAGTAAACTCTTCTTCTAGACAGTTTCTCGAGATAACTGTATCTAGTTGAATGCGCAGATCACTCGTTTTTCTAATCGCCTTACCAAACCATATTCGGAATTGTGTCACGTAGAGTGCAGTAATTTCGTAAGAAATAACTAATTGCAACCTTGTCTTGTTTATCGACTTAATTACTCTTCGTGAGAAAAGTAAGATTTGTTTTTCTGCTTTCCGTTTATACAATAAGTTAATGATTACTTAACATTTACGAAAAGAAACAAGTTAAAATTAAATATTTGACTGTTGCTGTAATTTTTAAGAAATAATAGTATAATGTACAAAAAATATATCCACAAGAACATACCTAAATGAAAAGAGATTTGGCTCTTCTTTACTTAATTAATAAAAAAAAATTTATTTAAAACACACATAATTTTAATATAAATTAATAATTAAATATTTGTTAGGTATTATATTCTAAACTAATATCGTCTGCTAATAATTGCAAGTATAAATAATTTAATTAAATGTATAACAGATAATTACTCCTCTAGAAATGTAATGCAATAACACGTAAGACTAAATTCACAGTACAATATTCAATGTGATGACGAAAGAAGTACTCACAAAAAGTCTCATGATTTGCGAAATCACACGCCAAAGACACCGTCGAGATAATTGATTCTGCGATACTCGTCCGCGAAAACGCGCAATAGACTCTACGATGCTTTCAAAGTCATGGCCAACTCTTTATATACCAGCACTACTTTCTCCCTTCTCTTCATTACGTTGATTGTAACAATTCGCTATATTCAAGTGCACTCTTGCACGTGCAAATGCCAGCTGCATGAATTTAACGATAAATACCGAAAGTGTGATCCCGACCCCAATGTTCTTCACGTTCACCAAGTTTGAAATGCATGAAGTAAATTACTAAAACTTTATATTATAGATATGTAATTTTGCGATATGCCTAAGATTTCTGGGTAGATAATAAGTGGTCCGTCCGCATATTAATTATAATTATCTTTTCATACTTAAGACTATTATACATGCATATGCACGTGTTACAACAGTGGTAGAATGTAAAGAATATAACAAGGTAATACTTTCTAATTATTATTAATTAAAATCTTAATTAATAATAGCTTGTCTCTAATCTGAACACCATAATGAAACGATTCGATGAATGGGAGTTTTTAATAGCTATTGCATACGTTAATTACGTTTATATGTATTTTCATTGGTTTTCATATATAAATAAGATTGTATAACAAACACATTTGTAGCAAATCTTCTTCAGCAAAATTGAAATTGATCTTTTTATCAATCAACATTATTATATAATTTTCGATAAAATATATCTACTGTTTTAGAAACAATGTCTAAGTGTGTAACCTTTTGTTTTTATATTTTTTGTAAATAAGTATTATATGTAACATAATTTTTTATTATGCAGAATTTCGAGATAAAATAAAGATTATCCATTTAAATCGTTAACAAATTAGATAATATGTAATGTTAGTAGTTTGTTGCACGCATCATTTACATTGAGTAGTGAGAGTTACGTGATATAATTTTAAATTGCATGGCACATATATATATATATAAAAAATATTATGAAACTATATTATAGTTTTTTTGATATTCTTTACTATTAAATTCACTGTTATTAATAAAATTTTTATATTGTTTAATATTATATAAAATCTTTATAGTAAAATTGGAGAAAAGACTATTTTGTTCGAATGACTAATGTTAACGAAACTTAAAGATATAATAAAGAGAGAGTGATCATTATTGACATTGACAAAAAGTTATACGATCATTGCGTATAAAACTTTCCATCTGTTTACTGGCTATTATATTGTAGCTTCTAGAATTGGGAATCATTATAAACTAGTCAGGACTAATGACTTTAGTAAACATCAGGGATCTGCTATTTTCAGTGATTCAATGCTATTTTCGCTGAGAAGATAAAAGGGGATAGATATAAACGCATTGAGATAATGACAATCTGCACACTTTATCATTTTTCCTTTCGCTTCCATTGCTTTTAACAAGTTATTCTTCCAGTGATAAATCAGGTGATAAAGTAATTCTCACAATCAGACATAAGGAGAGAGTCTCGGTGCAGTTACATGCAATTGTTTTTCACTAACTTGCAGTTACGCTATTCTTTCATGCTCGCAGTTGCGTGTATCAACTCGTGAGACGAAGATCAGCGTAAATGTGGTAATGTCATGGTCTAGTTTATTTGTTCAACAATCTGTGAATAAAAATGATTGCATGATTGCAATTCTCCAAAATGCACATTGTTCACGCAACCAACAGAATGCTGTAGCAGCACATCTTATTATTTCACTGAATAGCTTATTTACACGCAGGCACACCTAATTTTCTTCTTTGAAAATTTAAAACTTAATTCTAATTAAACAGTTTTGATCTAGTAAAATTAGTCCATACACAACAATCTATATATATTTGAGAATGCTAATTAAGAAACTAAAAACTAAATAATTATGTTTATTTTTAATAACGTCAGTCATTAATATACGAGAAAAATTTATTGAAACGTCTAAAAAAATTAAAGATTTTGGTGAAGTATCTAAAAATTTAGGTACATACAAATCCGAGAATAACTTTGTTGGACCATTAAAATAATTGAGTAGAAAACTCGAACATGATAAACAATGTTGCAAAAAGTTGACATTCTAGCAACCAGTTCGAGCGTCCTACATATAAATTGTTTTGATAGGTCAACAAAATTATCTTTAAATTTGTATTTAGCTAAATTTTTAGATACTTTAGCAAAACTGTTCTTATCATGTAACAAATAAATCTTTTAGCATTTTAACGTTACTCTGTAAACCTGTTACCTGTTCCTCTAATTAACAAAACAATTTTTTTAAACAAGAAAAAATTTATTATTTTTGCGACAGTAATGAACCATAAATCGCAGAATATATAATATCATAAGTGATGAAGTGATAAAACGGCTACAGACATCAGGTCGACGATAATCGATGCAGAGGTAACGATTTATGAAAGGCACGAACGCCGAGGGTGTGGTCGCGCGACAGCGAGAGGGGATTAAGATTTGAATCGTGTGCGATGCTATCACCGAGCGGAACAGTGAAAGTGCATCTCAAGTAAAAGTGGTTTCACACGTCGATGTAAGAACGTGCGCCACGCTCATTACGATGAATCGAGACCGCGCGCGAGCCTTCCTCACGGTTGCTGCAGCCAGTTTCTTTCTAGGCGATCCTAATCAAGCAATCGGCGAGGAAACGAAACAGTAGATTACATATTTTTACAAATTACATTTCGTAGATTACATTCATTTTACATGGAAATTTATTGTATCGTCACAAATATGATAAGTGCGACCATTTTTATCAGTATCCAATATTAAATAGCAATTATAATATTAATTTATTATTGAAATAATAAATAATAAAGCAACAATGTAAAAATAAATAGTAACTGATTTAAAAATAAATTATATTTAAAAAATCAAATTCAAGTTCTATGCTTGGAATGAAATACTTTACTTTGTTTCTTTTTTTTAATACAGTACGGAAATATAATTATTGTGCGTGGAACAGATTTAAATTATTTTGTTTAATGTTTAATCGAAAGTTAATGTTTAAATTAACAAGTAATAAAACATTTCAGATTGACAACATTTATTAACAAATATTAAAAAATTAATACGTATTTTATATTAACAAAAACTAAATAACATGTAACAAATCATGTAAAACAACATGTAACAAAATTATTTATAGAAAGAATTGCCAGGTTAAAAAAATCCTGACAACGATAAATTCTATAACATAACATATAGAAAAAATATAAATATACGTTATAGAATTTAACATTTCTTTCTAATTTTAGTCAGCAATAAATATAAATATCAAGAGAAAATCATACATACAATTATTGTTAATAAATTCAAGTAAAAAAGTTCTCAAGATATCACAAAAAATTTGCATTAATACAATCGTTGAACTGGCTGAAATCGAGAAGAATTTTTCCGTACAATGGATTTTTTGATGGAACGCGATAATAAGATAATACGTAATATCCGTGAATTCTATTTCCACCCTTTACCCTTGGAAGACGAATAATGAACCACGTGTTTGTAGATTGGGATATGAACAGGATATGGTTTCGCCACTGGCACGGGGAATTTCTTCTCCACGTAAACGGGATACGGCTTTTCCACAACATAAGGAACCTGTGAAAAAAATATAGTGAATATAACATGCTTCGTGTACAATTTGTAACTTTCTAATATATAACCGTGATGAATAAAATAAATATATTAAAATAAAGAGAGAGAGAAGAGAGAGAGAGAGAGAGAGAGAGAGAGAGAAAGAGAGAAAGAAGGAGGGGGATAGAAAATATTTATTAGATTAAAATTATTTTAATACCTTGTTTATTCCAATTTCGTACTGTGATTATAAGTTAAGAAATAAATGAAATATAGCTTAAAAGTATCAGAAATCGAGAATTATACTTACATGCTTTTCGATAACAAAAGGCTCTGGTTTTTCAATAGGTATCTCGACGTGTTTAATGACTTCCACTGGGTACGGGTGAGGGATTTCGATTGGCACCTTATATGGTTGAGGCACTGGTATTTTAATTTCCTTAGGCACTTCAATAGGCACAGGATGCGGAATAGGTATAGCTGAAACAAAGCAATTATGCAATTGCATTTAATATTATGCATGTATTCTTCATATTTTTTGACAACTATCCTCTGCCTTTTAAGAATAATTAATTGCATTATATGACCTAATAAGATTTAAAAAATTTAATATTAATATTATTGGAAAATAAACTTACCAAATTTCTTAATAATTGGAATTTCCACAGTTTTTGTTTTCTCTTCATATGTTGAACTACCATGATCCTCGGCAAAATGACTAGCCAACACCATGTTGCCGAACAAAGCGAGATACAAGAAAACCTGCAATTTTACATAACATATTTTGCTTTATAATATTTGTCAATTTTTAATATTAACACAATGATGTTATAATTTACACACACAAGACACTAATTATTACCATTACAGAACTTTCAATAAAAATTTGGAAAAAGTGTTACAAATCGTGTTATTTTAGTAATTATTTTATTTTTAAGAACAATTTTAATCATACTCTATGTATATTATTACTATAATAAGCATAATATTATTGCACAGTATGTAAGTAGAGTTCTCTTTTCTTGTAATAAACTGCCACTTTTTTATAATATCAATTAGCACCATTTAACACATTAGACACATAATTATTGCACGATATGCAAGTGAATGAATCTTACAATTATATTCATGTTGATTGCTTTTATGGGGTTAGTAATGCGAACACGAGAAATCAAGCATTGAATGACTATGTCCTCCAAAGACCGACTTTATATACGACTTCGATTCCACCACCTTTCACTAAAATCCTGATAGAGTTCCAATTGCCCAGGATATATCACGTTGCATTTCGCATCGTGCAAGAATATTTATCGTATCAGAAAGGACTCTATCTTATTGATAAAATAAATATAAAAAGATTATCATGCGTATTCACGTGAGAAACTATCTTCTTTCTTTGACGTATCGGTCCATTGCGATGCGACATGCGTCTTGCACATAAATTACACTATGATTATGCATGTATATTACAAAACGTTGAGAAAGTGTAGATAAGCAATTCGTGACTTGGTTGCGCTTATGATCACTTTACAAAAACTACTTTTTTAGAAATTAAAAAACGAGCGCATAGCCAATTAATTAAACTATTTTCATTTGTATTAATTTTTTTATGATAAGGAGAAAATATTAGTTCATTATAGATAATTTTCAATTTTAGATAATTTACAATTTAAATCAGGATTTAATTTTATCTTAAATTTTGATTTAAATTGGAAGACAAAGTAATTAATTGTTTATTTGGAGTATTAAAAGCACTAAACAATAATAGTTTTAATATTTAAAATAAATAATTAATTACTTTTCTTTCAGTATTAATTGATATTTCAGTAAATTGATGAATATTAAATTAGGCAGTATGAAGTTTTTGTAAGAGCTGTCAAAAATTTAACGTTTAGATTAAGTTATATTGTTGTGCGTGTGTGTATTGATACAAAATTATAGAAAATAAACTGTTAAAAATTTTTAACATATTTTTTATTTTTTGTACATTTTTTATTAAAAAAATTATGAGATTGGTATTTTTTTTTTATCATAGTTTAATTATAAGTTTTAAGTATAATATTAATTTGTTTTATACGACATAATGTATTTTAGAAATAATCACGATATTCCAATTTTATTACTCGATAATGTATCTAGAATAAGCTATTATTTGGGATGTAATCATTCAATTAAGTTAAAGTAAGCATTACATAATTACCGTGGGTTTAACTCAATTGTTCAAGAGAATGCAGCAGATGTGTAAATGTTAAAATATTCCGTGGGAGGACAATTACGGAGATATCTTTAGGCAAATGTAAACGAGCATTATTGTTATACGTTTACCGGAAGTGAAGGTACCACGTATGTACAATCTCCGAGACTTTCCGACATCCCTGTGGGATGTATTAAATTATATTAAATGACTATGTTGGCTATGAATGGGTCTAAATTTACGACCAAACAACGAAACGTTTCGGTTGTTACTCTATATAATTATTAATTTTCTTGAGACAAATGACTAGAATGACTAACCAGAAATATTTTTTATCGCGATGATTTGGCTTGATAAACACAAGAAAGGAGTGCCCAATGGATATATGAATTTGATTTCCATTCACTTACATAAATGCAAACCTTCCGGGAGTCATGCAGCAAGGTAGTTCCCTCTGTATGTTGTTCTTAGATTCAACTAGGAAGTGAACGCAAAGCATACTCTTGCTAGGAGAGACGTTTCCAGACGATACATTTTTTGATACATCAGAATGAAAGTACGAAACACAACGCCCCGTGAAAGGGTTCCGGCCAGAACACCGATCGAAAGACATTCAACATTCGACTGTGAAAGGCGACGTGAAATAATCTTTAAAAATGGATTAATAATACTCAAAGATATCCAATACCCGATAATTGATATCCAATAAAATAAAAAATTATGATATAACAAAATTATAATCTACAATAAGGAGTTTATTGCATCTGCAATATTAATAATTTAACTATACTATTATATATATTTTATATATATATATAGCAATTATTTATAAACATTTTGCAATTATTTACCATATATATTTATCCTTGCTCATTAAATACATCGAAGTATTATATATATACAAGTAAGTGTATAATTGCAATATTTTGCAAAAAGAAACCATCAATTGAAAAAAATAAAGATTACAACAATTATCGAACACATTTAATAACGAAAGTCAAGAACATTAGCAATATTGTAATGTTCTAGTTTTTACACATTCATGAAATTCTACTTTCCGGTTAATTATTCATGTGGCGGGTTTATCATACACAGAAGGAAATGTGTTCCTAATGCGAGGAGAAACTTCGAGGCGGCGACTTTGAAACGAAGACCATCTCAATTAATGTCCACGATAGAATGATATCGCTAATTCGCTCTGGAAAATTGGACGAACTTACGGTCGTTGAAACCCACGATCTGTCACTCACGGGAGTTTAGGTCCGCGCTCTAATTCGATCTCAATTAGTCATCGGTATAATGTCGCAACAAACGAACACTGACCTACAATCTCTGATGTTGGAGAAAGTATGAATTTCGGCCGTGTTTTTTAAACATGACAGAAATTACGTCCTTGAAGTCAATTAATCTTCATATGTATCTTTTATTATTGTATCAAATAATGAAACCTGAAATTTTTTTGCATCATTACTATGTAATAAATGTTTATGTAATATTAATTTATTAGTTCAAAATTTGCGACTCAGAATAAAGTGAGTAGATATATATACATATATATAAAATATAACTCTTTATGAAAAAGAATTATTTAATAAGCATTTAATTAAAAAAAATTGAGATAGGGATATGGATGGAAACTTTAATTGTGAACAAGTTAAAAACTCTTTTTGAATGGAGAAGTAATGCACCAGAAGATTTCTCATAATGTTAGAGGAAAAGAGAGAGAGAGAGAAAGGGGGGAGGAAAAAAGGGAAAGCATAAGTCAAGGAATCCGCCGGAAAAAGGAAGCTAGTAAAGGAAGTTCGCGACGGGAGGGAAAAAAGACTTACAGCGAAAGTAAAGTTCAAAGTCGATTTGCTCTGCCGACAATCACCACGGTGCTGTGCCGCAAAAAGAGGAACCGCCCGTTGGTGATTGTATATTAAAACGCTCCTTCCTGATTCATACTAGCCTCAGGTTATCTACTCATACGGACGTAGAGCGTGTATCTACAAATATACTCAATCGATCGGCTTTCCCATAATTGAAGGGAACCGATTTCTTCCCGCGTCATAGAGTAATCGTGTACAATTATAAATGTTACAAGCTGCTTATAGTTCACTTTAAAATAACATATGTACGAAGTTGTATTCATAAGATAATCACAAAAGTCCAAGTGGAATGAAGTAATTTAGAATCAGCTCCTTTCCGTTCATATGTAGCTTCTTTTGCTTCTAGGAATTCTCATATCATTGAGATATGAACATTAAGATAGTTTAACGGATATTACGACTTAATCAGAGATGATGGTACGGAAATGGAATGATAAGGTTTACGCGACCGCAATCATTTCAAGTATTGACGTCAAAGCATTTCAGTGGTATGACGTTTTTTGTTACGTGTTGCGAGAGATCACTCTTCCTCCTTTTACAACGATCACGACCACCATCATGGTCGGAGAAAGACTAAATCTACAAGACTTCCCTTTCGCTGCTACTTTAAATCACTGTTGTGCGTTTTCCATCGTTATTTTGCATTCTTTGGCGTGTACAGGAAGAAAGCATTGTTGTTACATAATTTTTTAAATTTAAAATTCGCTTCGACTTCATGTTTGCTGTCTATCTCTGCTTTGTGTTGGGGTGTCTTGTAATTAAAATATATTCTATATACCGCATGCCAGAGTCTTTTCACTTTCAACTACCTTAAAGGAATGAAAGATGGAATTTGCACTTCACTTTCGCCATGTTGGTTTTGTCCATTCGAGGTGCTCTGTTATTTCCGCTTCGTTTTTGCAAAAATAAAATTGCATGAAAGTATTTATTGTATAAATTTAAATAAAATTATTAAGAAAATACAAGGAGAAATAGAAAGTGCGAGGAGAAATATAAAGAAAAATGCGAAATGCAACATAACATGCAAAATGATATTTTTTTGACGATTTTACTAAGCCTTTGCGTGTAGTGAACATTATGAGTATCTGCGAGACATTAAAATCCAATCAATTCTTAACTAACTTGACTAAATTACTTTACATTAACTACTTTATACCTGGACTTCATATTTCAGACTAGACAGATTATTTTTATGAACATACTCTTTTATGTGGTTTCCGACTAGTATAAGTTACTTCAGAATCGCTTGAATGAAAAACGTCTTCAACAAGATATACAGGCAGTTGTGGAAAAAGGAATAAATCATGAATTTCCGTTCTCGTACCATTTCATTTTCACATTAGGTGGAATCAATCACGTAACTTTTCCGGACCATGCACGTTTAACGATCATGTAGACTTAACGTTTAGCGAGAATTATTCGAACGGTGAAATTTTTTGTGTCACTTATTACCATAAATTGACTAATCGCAACTGCGTTCGTTAGCACGCGACAAACCATTTGACCGATTAGTGTTTTTATAACATGACTTTATACTTGGGTGTAAGCATTTTTCTCGCAATACTTGGAAAATTTACGGATGGCTATATACCGTTGTGAAAATAACGAACATGATATTCTCGGAGCGTCACGTCGCTAATATCTCGTTTGAATTTAGCACGAGATTTAGAATAGCGGATCTCGAATCACCATAGCTATCATTTAAATTATCCTGCAGTTTTTGCTCGATTTTACTTTTCATAAAACAACTAATACGTTAATTGGAAAAAGATATAATTTATATTGGCTTTAGCAGATTTAATATTCGAGAAGCACTATAATAGGGCTCACTGAATAACTAAGTAAGTACCTTTTATATGAATGTTTTTGTATATTGAATGTAATTATCAAATTGAATTTTGTTTTTTCCAATTATCGTGAGAAAAAAATGTCCGTGATGTATTTATAAAAAAATTTGCACATATAAAAAATTTTTTAATATATATAAAATCTAACAATAAGTAAATAGCTACAGTTCTGAGGTAATAAAATAAAACAAGATTTTTCTATTAAAGCAAATATTTTAATAAATAATTCCACTGTGTTGTAGTATTGCAAAATATTAGTCTTCTCATATCGTGTATATATTTTTTATTAAATGTATAGAATAAATCAGTAACAAGGAGAGATCGTAAAGCAAGTCAATGCTTGACTTTATGCACGATGGTCTTGTAGATCGGAATCTTGATCGGAATCGGCTTTTCGACCGGTATAGGCACGTGTTTTACCACTTGAAATGGTACCGGCTTCTCGATTTTCACCGGAATTATTTTCTCAACAGGCGTCGGTATCTTCTTCTCGACGGTTTTGATTACCTGCTTTTCCACCTGAAAAAATAAAAGGCTGCTTTCAGCAAAAGGAGTGATAAGGGAAGTGCAGATTTTATTGCAAAAATGAAGGTAATTATCGAGTAGTTACCTGGAATGGTACAGGCTTCGGAACTACCACAGGAACAGGATAAGGCTGTGGGACCGTATCCACCACCGGATGCGGTATGTTGATCGGAATTTTCTGAACTGTCGGTATCCCTATATATCGCGGATATGATGCGACATAAAAATGAGATAAGTTACTAAAAAACCTTTATTAATAACAAATAGTTTTAAAGCAGTGACAAATAGTACAAATCATTATTATATAATATATAATAAATAAACAATTATATAATATATATTTAATATAATGTATAATGTGTGTGTGTTATAAAATTATTATTACATTACATATATATAATGTAATAATAATTTAAATTTATTACCAATCAATTAAAATTGCTCTTTAGTTTTGGTTGTAATAGAACTAATCTGCCAGCTTATCATATCTGAATATTTTAAACGTGCAAATATACTTTTATCTCTCTCTCTCTCTCTATAATGTAGTAATATTCCAATAATCAATATTATATAAATATAAGATTAAAAAAGTCAAAGTAATGAGCAGATGTCAAATTAATAAAATGTATATACATTTAATAAATTTTAATCAGCGGAACTCTTCGGCTCGATAAAGTTCTCTTAAAACAAAACGTTATTTAATCAATTTTATCAATTTGATCTGTTTATATACTCATTTATTTTGACCTTTTCAACCTTAAGTATATTATATTCTAATACAAGCCATTTTTATTATTATGCTTAATATTTATATTAATAAAGTCCATGCATTTTCTATTACCGATATGCTTAACAGTGGGAATAACATTGACTCCGTGAAGACCGCTGGTGGCCGAGTGCCAATCACTAATTTTTATTGGTGAATGACCTCCCAATAAATCTAAGGAATGGCTTTCTAAAATTCAAAACAATTTATCAGCATTTATTTATCAAATCGATACAACAAGACACTTACGTGATAAGCTGCATGACATATGTTATAATTATCACAATAAATCGATCCCTGGCTACGCTGTTATCGTTTATACAACTTTTATGCATTAGGAAATACTTTTTCAGAGATAATCGTGGAATTAATAAGCAATTAAAAATATATGTTCAAACCTGTTCCTCCCAGGCCATAATGATCTAAAGAAATTTCTCCCAGCGTAAGTCCACCACCATCATCATGACTTCCAAAGTTCCAATCGGAACTGTAGGAGTATGCGATAATTCCCAACAGCACAATCTTAAACATGAAACATCACCGAAATTGTGAAAAACATGATTTATCTTTGTTATTGCCAGGTTTTAAATTAAAAAGAAATTAATCGTTGCACAGGTCGCAAGAAACGCGTTTCACTTAGGTCCAAATAGTTGAAGATATAATAATTGTTAAACATGAGATTGTGTGTTTATATATTTCATTACATTTTATTACATAATCAAGATGGGCCTTTACGTACAATTTTTTTCATTTTTCAGTTAAGATATCTCTATCGTCAATGAATAGATAGTCTACTCTCGGGACAGATTCTTTTGTCGTCACTTTATATACCGCCTACGAAAAAAGCAACCCCACTATTCTTTGAAATGGCCCCACCGCAAATGCTATAAATCCCCCGATTGGGGAACTAATCATTTGCAGTCACTATTACGCGGAAATGTTGCATAATGTCTTATACTTGCGACTCCGTTCATAATTGTTGCTTTATCTTTTCATTAACTCGTATTTTTTAAAAAATTTATAAATTTAATTCTTTTGTCTTGAATACTATATGTGTTTTATATAAATCATTAATAAAAAATGTTTTTCCTTTAATTAATATTAAGCAACAGAGAGAGAGAGAGAGAGAGAGAGAGAGAGAGATTAATTCAAAAAGACTTTCTTTAAAAAATCAAAAATATATTTTCCGGGGCTTCGGAAAATTTTATATTATTATATAAAGACAATGATTAAGAATGGAATACGACACAGCGTTTTCTAAACGTTAAAATACCGTAAATAGTGTAATATTAAAATATCGAGGAAATACAATCTTTCAATAGCCTACTTTCATATTTTTTTGAAAAATTTTTTATCCCGCAAACTCGTGAATATTTATTTGTGAATGCCTTCTTGTCGTTTTCTCGGTTATTTTTTATTGTTGAAAACAAGGATCGACGGACTCATCTTGTCAGATACAATAATGCTGCCGATGTCATGGATGATTTGTTGCGACCACGATGATCCCGTGCATTGCGGGCAAATCAATTTGTCTAACGTCCACTTTCCACGGAATTCCCATGCTTTTATCGAAAATCACAGTGAAAGCCTGTCACGAGCACTTCTCGCACTCTATACGACCTGAGGAACACATACGGACTGTAATCGATGCTTGTTTGACTACTATTACCATTATTGACGCAAATTTGCTATGGTTACCTTCATTAAAAAATGACCAGATTTTACAGTGAAAAATTACTTCGCATTATTCACAAGTTAAGGAAACTTAAATCAAATGATAACTTCTAAAAAGTAATGGACGTGTAATTATTTAAAGAATAAATAATAATGTATTATATATATAAAGTTAATGTATTAAAGAATTTGAAATGTAATACAAAAATAACAAGGATACAATAAATAAAAAAATTAGAGTATAATTTTTATAATTCGAACGTGTACTTATCAAAAAGGGACAATAAATAGATATTGAACGATCAGATACTAATTAAAATGCGCATTTAAACTGTTTATGCTATTATACGTAATAAATATTGTTGGATTTCAAACTCACTCGCTTATCATTATCGCAAGCAATAGGAGCAACAGTCTTTAATTATATTTATAATTTAGCTCGTTATCTGAATTTTCTATCTCAGCACTTTCTGACGTACCTATATGCAGAGATAGTAAAAAGCATTTCGACGACAGACTTTCACTTAATAAGAACAACGAGAGTATTTAGTTTTGTAAGCATTTTATTCAAAAACGTAACAGAACAACAAAACGTTAAAAAAGTGTCTTAACAACGCGCTAGTAGCGCTGACGATTACAAATACGCGTATATACAAAAATATATATAAAAAAATAAAGCGGAGTCGAAGAACGCTCGACCAAGCAAACATGGGTTGTTTTTCGTAAACTTTCTCCTTATTGACGGCATGTTGTGCTGTGAGGATTAGGATAGGTAAACGTGTGTCAATTAGGTTCAAGATAATCGGTCCTTACAGTTTCTTTCGCAAAGTTACTAGCGTTTAAAGTTAAATAAGTTTCAAATAAACGACTAGTAGCTAATGTAGTTGAATTAATTCTGAGCAATCCAAGCACTCAATAAATTATTTAATTGTACGTAGCTATTTTTTTTAGAGATATAGAGCGTACTTGTTTTCCAGCAAACGTAGGTCTGCCGTAACAACATCTTCGAGTAAAAAAGAATATATTTTCTTACAGAGTACGCACCCTCTCGTTTCTTAATCACATTCAAATTAGTACTTTCAACGTAAATGTTTCGGTTTGTTTTATCGATGGGTGCGGTCCACTTAGCGTCCTACAAATGCAAATGCTTCGAAGCATTTGATTGACCAATCAGAAGAAAAAATTTTACTAATTATCTAATCAAAGAATTAATTAAGTACGAGAAGCAATTACGGTCAAAGATAGAAAGTTAGATGTTAGACTAATACGTATGTATTTTAGATAAATTTATCTCAGAATCAAAAAATGCTTCGAAATATTTGCAGCATCAAGTGGACCGTAGCTTTTAAAATTCCCTCGAATAAAAGATGTGGATCGCTAAGAGTTATTTCTAGGGTGCGATTCACTTAACACTACAAATGCTTCGAAGTATTTGATTTTAATCAATAAAAAAAAATTTTACTAATTGATCAATCAAAAAATGCTTCGAAACTTCTGTAGCATCAGGTAGACTGTAGTTTTAGGCTATGTTCCAAAATTCCTTGTTAGCGCTAAAAATCTACAATTTACGTTACGTGCGAAATAAATTTTCAGCACTGGCAAATTTTAGAACATAGCCCTAGATTATATGTACCACGTTTTTCCTTATCCGTAGAAATCCTCCATGCCATAGGCACACTTTAATGCTTCTTCGCGTGATGATAAATAGTCTTGTAAACGGGAATCTTGATAGGATACGGCTTCACGACTGGAACGGGGATGTGTTTCTCGATTGTGATAGGAACTGGCTTCTCGATGGGTATCGGTATGTGCTTCTCCACGGGGTAAGGCACCTTCTTCTCTACCGGGACCGCCACTGTCTTCACGACTTGTATGGGAATATGCTTCGGTATGGGGACATGAACGGGATAAGGTTGCGGAATGCCAACTGCTACTGGATGCGGCACGTGTATCGGCACTGATTTCGGGACCGGTACACCTGAAAGAAAATAATTCAGAAAAGATAAGAATGAGTCCTTAGACTATAAACGACAAAGTGAACATAAAAAGTACTTGAAATTTTTTAACATATTAAAATTTATGCTAATGAAGAAAATAAATGTCGCGAATTTTTGTGGATACATAATAAGATGACTAATTAAAAATTATACTATTGTTAGCGTACACATTTTGTCGCATACACATAGTTTCAAAAATAGTAGCAAATTATTAACTTTTGATTGCTGAGAATATGACATGAATAACCAATAGTAATAATAATAATTATGGCCTCCAAATTGATTCTCCATAATTATTAGCAAAAAGACGACTTTTTTTATAAAGTAGTAATTTCTAATTCTATAACTTTCAAGTACGACTCGCAGTACTCGGGGAGAATGAAATAGTACGTTACCAATGTGTTTGTAGACTGGTATAGCAACAGGCTTTGTCACTTCGACATGCTCAGAGACGGGAACACTGTGAACATAATTATGTCCGCTGTCCAGCGAGATTCCATGGCCACCATCTCCACCGCTGTGACCACCGTCGAATCCGCCGCCAGAAGAGAAATCCTGATGACCACTCTCGAGACTACCACCAGACTCTATATGGCCGCCAGCAGAACTAGCTTCGAAACCACTACCCCCATGGCCACCCCCGATGTCGCCACCCCCATAACCACCTCCATAGCCACCTCCGTAGTCACCTCCGCCGCCGGAAGTACCGGAGATTTCCTGATCAGATCGATCGATCGCATAGTGGCCGTTAAATAATTGCAACATGTAGTGTCTTCCATCTGGGCCGAAGGTTATTGGCGTAGCCGCGGCCAAAGACACCAGAGAAAGCAGCACCTGTAAAAGATACAAAAAAAACGTAGAAAATATGATGATAACTTGCAAAAATCCATCAACATGTGACTGTATATATAAATACGAAAAACTTTTTATCTTTTTTCCAATTAATTTATTCTACACAATATAAATTAAATATATCAATAATATTTTATATATACTGTGAGAAAATTAGCAAAGTCAAAAAACAAATTAATTAAACGTACGATAAGATTGACGCGATCTTGTCAGAAAGTGTCTAATAGATTTATGATCTAACTTCAATTCAGCATTTAAACTAGTATTTTAAATTACGTTATCTGGAAATCAGCAATTTACTAAGTACTTACGATTCCGCTCATGCTCCCACGTGTTTCTATTAGTGCGCTTCAAGTCGCAAGTAGCGCAAGTCTCTAGAACGACTGATACATCTTCGTCCATTTCCCGTCTTAATATACTACGAGGCCTTTCACTGTAGACGATGTAATTTCGTCTCGCTTCGTACTGAGGCGAATTATACCCGCCTGGTGCAATTGTTTCGCTGTAGTCTACTCGGCGTGCACGTGAAAATAATTGACCGTGTCCTCGCGGCCTTCACATTGGCAACGAATCGGACATTTCCTATTCCGTTGTACAGGTGAGCGTCTATGAATGCGGATTTCCACGTTCACCTGGGTTTACTGTCTACCACTTCGTTAAATCAATGTCTGATATAGAGAAGTTCGTTAAATTTACATGTCATTCGTCACGAGATAGTCCATCACGGTTCATTTAATCATCTTAATTTCACGTTTTAAATCGATCGTTTTTATTTTCGCTTCTTATCACGTTGTTAAGTATGAAAAAAATGTTTTCCGCTATTGCCGGAACAGACATCTATTCTAATTGTTTAAGTACGTACTTAATTTTTCCATTATACATGATTGCTACACTTCCTATTGATTACTATTTGACAAACAGTTATGATGTATTAGTATTATAATTAAATTGTTTTTATATTTAATAAAATAAATAATAAGACAAAAATGCAAAAATGTTTTGTTAAACAATTAACAAGCTACGTAAAATTTTTCATTTATATATTATATTCCTATATAAAAATTTTTATAATTAAAAAATATTAAAGTAAAAATCATTTATATTTAATATAACGATGACAAATTAATGTAATTTACGTCTATTTTATTCATCCTTTCACCTTTGTAGCTTCATTATTTCTAACAAAATTGATAACCATCTTATGCGACAAATAGGCTAATTTTAGCACGCGTGTAAACCTTAACTATGGGTGAAGAGAGCATAACGAATGTGTGGATGAAATACTCAGCTACTTCGTGAATTAATTTTTTAATTTTGTAATAATTAGCAAGATATAACGTAGCTCCTAAGTGAGCTATGCGTACCGTCCCTGATTTATGGAATTTTCCTTTAAACTTTCAAAAGTCTGGCGAGATTTGATCTTGGTGGAATGTTCTTCTAAAGAAAAGAACGGAACTTAATTTTTACATATACGATCTTAATAAATTGTTTATTAGTGTTAATTTTTTTTAAAGATAAAATAGAACAAGTGAGAATTTTTATATTAATTTGCCAAAATTAATATAAAAAAATAATTTGCTTATTATATAAAATAATCATGCATGATTTCCAATACGAAATGATGATTAAATCATCTATGCACATGCTTTAATTTACATATGGATATTATGTAGCCAGAAGCAATCAAAAACAATTAACTACCAGATGCATGCATATCTCTTGTAAATCGTTAGAAAGAATTGGATATAAAAGGCAATCATACATAGAAGCAAAATTAATAAAAGCATAAAATGAATACTTTCCTACTTTAGTTTTCATGAGGTCGGGAAGAAGAATAAAATTACTGGTTTACTGAGCTGTGACCACTTTCGATGAATCCAAAACGAATTGTAGTTTATAAAATATTAAATCATACGAATAGTTTAAAAGCACAATAAGGATATATATATGTATATATATTATAAAGGTTTCAGAGAAATGACCTGCAATTACAATCACTAAAGTTTTAATCATTAACTTTTATAATTTATTACAATCTCGTATAATAACACGTTCGTGAGAATTATACGGAAATGAAAGGAAGTGAAGGTCCATTGTGATTTAAAGTACACTATGTACAAAGCTGTTAATTTATATATATAGCAGATAATATACACAGGGTTGTCAAGTAACGCGTTATTTGTAACGCCGTTACTTTGTTGATTGTTACCTTGTTATAATAACAATTTGATAATGACATTGGATTTTTTATGACGGAAATGGTAACATCAGAGTTAGAAAAGTCAATCGTTACTTGTAACAGGTTGAAAAAGTCATTCATTACTGAAAAAAATAACTCCTAATTTATAACTTTTTACTCGTATACTTTTTACTCGTTACTCGTTATTTATTACTTTTTTCAGTAAGTAAATCGTAATGGTGACAAATTACTTTTCAAAGTGACTTTTTTAACCTTAACACAACCTTAGCGTTTAGTTACTTAGCGTTACCGTAATAAAAATTGCTTTACTATAAAAAGTAATGACAGAGTAACTGAAAAGTAACGTTTGCCAATTCTGCATATACACTACACATATGTATAGGATCTTAAGTAAGCTTATCATCTCTTCTATACATTTTTATGTTTACACACACACACACACACACACACACACACACAATAACAAAAATATATGTTAATTATAAGGTTCTTTAATATAATAATCAAAAATATAAAAAATATTTATTTAATATATTATTAATAATTTGCGTAATATAATAGCTTTCATAATTAATTGTTTTCCAATTTATTAAAATATTTGTATAAATAGAAAAATTACAATGTAAGACTAAAATATTTAATGATTTAAATTTTGTGTACCAAAAAATTATTTTTATATTTTTTAATATGTTTTCATTCAGAGAATAAATTGTCATTAAATCGATTATTAGATTATTGTACAATCTAACAATAATAATTGTAATTAGTTAATAAGAATCTAGACAGAGATGAATAATTAATTAAATTATTTTTTTAGAAATTAATTTGAATTTATCAATATATAAAATATTAAAGTTTATTATTATAGATAGAAAAATTATGAATATCATGATGATCACTAATTTGAGATTTAATTTAAATTATTCTCTATATAAATTATTCTTTTAAAAAATATTTATAATAAAAGAAAAAAATATTAAAAAGCAAATAACTTTTGATTATTGAACTGCAGAATCATTACACATATATTATTATCTGATTGTCTAGAATAAATTTGAAATGTTTGACATGTTAATAATTTTATAAGTTTTTATTTCCAATATTTTATTACATTTTTCTTAACAGGTAAAGAATCTTACAAATAATACAAAAAAAATGTATTTATTAAATAAGATTATTATTTGGCAATAATGAGCAACGCTTGTTAACAAGTATAACAATCCTGTAGTACAATTGTGTTACGGTGATACAGGCATGGAAGCGAATATTGCTTTCGCGTCATTAACAAGTATAACAATCCTGTCAATAAAACTTGTAACTCAAGAAAGATGAGTTTACTTTCCCTATCTAATGTCATTCATCTTTACGAGAAAACGTTCCACGAATCAACAGTCATTTGTGTCATCCGCTGAAATCTCGTTTAATTATAACTAATTATAGCTCAACTTTCTTCAATAATACCATTTGCGACCGCGTTTCTTTGTTTTTCTTCGGTGGAAGATATGCTTATAAATTGGTATGTGAATCGGATATAGCTTTTCCACTGGAACGGGCACATGTTTCTCGATAGTTATTGGCACCGGCTTTTCCACGGGCACCGGTATGATTTTCTCCACCGGATATGGGACCTTCTTCTCAACTGGAATTGCAATGGTTTTCACAACCGGCACAGGAATATGCTGGATGACCGGCACATGAACAGGATAAGGTTGAGCAACAGCTACCGCTATAGGATGAGGCACGGGTATTGATACGTGCTGTGGCACTGGAATTCCTGTAATCTCAGGAAACGTGATAATTTAAGTACTTTGTGTTTTTTTTCTTTTCTCCTATATAATGAAAGCATCAAAATTATTTCTAAAAAGTCAATCGTTTTTAATTTGTTAGCTTTACATTATGCTGAGAATTTTAGTATGACTCTACTGAAAATTAAGCTATAGCTATTAAGAAAATATAAAATGTTTATCAATCTTAGTCCGTAACAATATGAAAATAATGGAAAAAAATAAACAAGTAATACTATTTTTTACAAAATTAGTTAACTAATAATACAATTAGTTAATTAAAAGTGAAATTAATATTTCAATATATTCGCCATTACATAATGACATTGATCAAATGCAATTTATGCTTTTGTAATATAATATATATTATCTTATAAATTAATATCTTATAACAAGAAAAAATTATGGTATTATACCATCTAATATCTTCATTATTAATAACAGTACACAAAAAAGAAAATTCGTTTAATAATTAATTTCGGAAAAAGATTTTTGCAAAATTGTTTAATTAAGAAAGTAGAAAGTATCATGTAAAGAATGAAACTAAATGTGATCGTAGTTTCATAACGTGCTTTAGTAGTAAAAGTGGAAATTAAAGTTTCCGCAAATCCGCGCATGTGGATCGGACAAGAATTTTTCCATGAATATACTATTTCGATCAATCAGATAAGAAAAACTTTTTCATATTACTTTCGTATGGATACTGTTTTCACTAATGATGTAAAAGACAGAATTAACATATTCGGCAAATACGTATTTCTATTTTTTTAAATGAAATTTATTCTTTATATAATTTTTTTGCTATCAGTAATGTATAAATCAACAACATTTCTTTCATTTTGAATTAAAAATTACGATTTGTATTTAATATGACGTAAGCAAACGTTTTATTCACCATATCTATTGATATTATGATATTGATATCTATTGGTCAAGTAATATTATAAACAATATAAGAATATTTTTGTATTCCTTCTTACTATAATATTAAATAATTATTACTATACTGTAAATTTTTAATTATTGTTTTTTACAATTTTGTATAATCCACTGTTACTTTATTTTTTAATTTGTGGTTATACTTTGCAAAACCTTACCGATATTTTTTATAACTGGTACTGGCACTGGCTTTGTGACTTCCACATGCTCGTTGATCGGCACAGCTTGAACGATTGTATGTTGAATGTTATTGTCTTTAAATCCTTGATTCATGTCTAAATAAAAATCGTCACCATTTTCGAAGGAAGAATATGATCCATGAGAAGGAATATTCTGATGAATGTTGTGATCGTTGGAGACGTAATTCGTAATTTCGAAATCAGATATTCTGTCAAAATTAGAACAGTAATTAGGAATTGCAACACAATAATTTGATCTTAACATATATACAACAT